AATCTAAGTTTTAAAAATAAATATTAAGATCTATTAAATTCTAAAACTTTATATATTTATATATTTCTGCTTTTATTTTTAATTATGTCAGCTTCGGTCCTCCATAGAAACCTGCAAAAACCTGTTAAAAAAACAACAACAATCAATATTAAGAATATTAATGAGAAAAAAAGTTCTTAAATATCATGTTTATTGATTGAAAAGCCAATAAAAGGCAATAATCACAAGAATTAAGAGACACTTCTTACAATATTTGTTTATCTTGGTTAAAATTAGGCTTCTAATTAACCAATTTTCTTCATCTAAGTGTATTTTAATCATGTGTGATATGTTTTAAAAAATAACCTGCAACTTTTCCAGTCTTTTAAATAAAAAAAAAAATGTTTTGCTTGTGACCCAGTAAAAGGCATCAACAGAACCAAACTCTGAAGGACTCGGTTCTTACTGTTGGGCCATGATGAGGGGGATGCTGTCGGACTGCAGCGGCGAGGCCCGTTCTCCGGTTCGGCTGTTGAACATGGGCAGCGTGGACAGAGGCGGCGGGACCCCACGGCTTGCCGCCATGCCCCTCAGCTCTTCTGCGTTGCCCTGGATGGTGTGGTGGTGGTACAGCTGGATGCTGCCGTGAACGAAGCATCACGTTTAACTGGGAATCGTTCTCTGAGGCGTAAATGTTTAAATGAACATTTTACTCACTTGTTGGTTCTTGCGTCTCTTTTTGCGCTGAAAGTCCAAACATTGTGTTTAGTTGTTTACTGTCAGGTATTATTGGAAACGTCAGAGTCGTGGCAAACGGTTCTGATCAGATCTGATACGTACACGCCCTCTCTCCGGCCGAACATGATGTAGGCCAGCAGCAGACACAGAACGATGGCGAGGAGCAGCGGCACGATCACCGTCACCAGGTAGTCCGGGAAAAAGTCCCGGCTCGGAGGGGACTCTGGAGGGTTAAAGTCACCTCCGGTCTCTAAAACCCCAGAACCCATGGTGGGAGKAGGAGGTTCTGGTTCCCTCTTCGTCAGGTCAAACTGCAGGGAGAGACATTTCAGAACAATTACTCTTTTTCTGTCTCCTTATTTATTTTGTCTCTGTGTCTTTTTTTGTCTTATTATGCTTCTATTCTTTTATTTTTTGTCACCTTATGCATCAGATGTGTCTTATTTTGTCTCCTTATATTTTTTTGTGTCTTTAGTCTGCTTCTGTGTCCTTGTTCTCCTGGTTTGCATGCTTTTTTATGTATCCTTTCCCATTTTTATGCACCTTTTTTGTCTTTTTAATATCCCTTTGCATCCTTCTTATCTTTTTTATTGTAGTTTATTTCTTCTTACGCACCATTTCAGCATTTCTACGCAACTCTTTTATGTGTCTGCTTTATGCCTACCTTTTGTTTTTCATATCTCCTCAAGTTTACCTGTTAATATCTTTATTCATCTTTAAGTCCTTTGAGTTTCTGTATCCATCAGAGTTTTCTTTTTATAGTATCTTCCTATAATTTGTTTTGTGTCTCGTTAGTCTGCTTACGTGTCCTTCTACTCCTTTTATGCATGTTTTGTCTTTTTATGTATCTTTTTGTGTTCTTTTGCATCTTTCTAGTTCTTTTAATGTATATATTTTTTTTATCTACTTATGTCTTCTAATGC